GACAGTCTCTAAAATAGACCACATATTAGCCCATAGAGCATTCTTAACTAAATGCAAAAGGATTGACATTGTCCCACGCAAATGATCTGACCATAATGCACTAAAATTGGAAATTAATGGCAAAAGAAACTGTAAAACCTACATAAATACATGGAAATTAAATAATCTCTTGAACAACAATGGGTTACAAGAGAAATTAAAGAAGAAATTAAACAATACTTAAAATTCAATGAAAATGCAGACACAACACACCAAAACCTGTGGGACACAATGAAAGTAGTCCTAAGAGGAAAATATACCATAATTAATTGTCACATCAGGAAAACAGAACCAGCACAAATAAAGAACCTAATGCTCCATCTCCAGCTTCTAGAAAAAGAAGAGCAAGTCAAGCCCAAAGCTCATAGAAGAGAGGAAAGATCAGAGCAGAAATTAATGCAGTTAAGTCTAAAATAAAATAATAATATAGAATTAATGAGTGAAAGAGCTGGTTCTTTGAGAGAATGAATAAAATTGATAATTCTAGCCAACCTTATCAAGAAAAAGAAAGGAAAAACTGAAATTCATGCAATAAAAAATGAAAAAGGGTGAATTTACTACAGATCCTATGGAAATTCAGAAAGTCACGAATACCTAGTTCGAAAATCTTTACTCACATAAAGTGGAAAACACAGAGGGAGTGTACAGATTTCTAGAAACATATGAGTTACCAAAACTGATTCTATAAGATATAACCATCTCAAATAACTCAATATCAGCTACTGAAATAGAAAACTTGATTGAAAGCTTACCAACAAAGAAAAGCCTAGTTCCTGATGAATTCATGGCTGAATTCTATAAGAAATTTAGAGAAGATTTAATGCAAATACTCCTCAAACATTTCAAAAAATTGGGAGGGAAGCAGTTTTTCCTAACTCATTTCTGGATACTCTGATACTAAAACCAGAGAAGGGTAAACTGATACTAAAACCAAAAGGGTAAACTGTAGGCCAATCGATGTAAAATTTCTCAATAAAACACTAGCAAATAAAATATAGCAAGTTATTAAGAAGATTATACATTTTGACCAAGCAGGATTTATCCCAGGAATGCAGGGATGATTTAACACACACAGATAAATAATTGTAATATACCACATCAACAAAGCCAAAGACAAAAATCACATGATCATCTCAATAGAGGCAGGAAAAGCTTTTGATAAAGTCCAACATTTGTTCATGATAAAAGCCCTATAGAACCTTGGAATAGATGATATTTACCTCAATTGGATAAAAGCCATCTATGACAAACCAATAACCAGCATCTTACTAAATGGACAAAAATTGAAAGCTTTCACTCTAAAATCAGGAACAGATAAGGAGGTCTACTATCATCTCTCCTATTCAGTATAGTTCTGGAAACATTATCCAAAGCAATCAGACAAGAGAGAAAAATAGGATGAATAAGAATGGGAAAGGGAGAAATTAAATTACCACTATTTCAGGTGACATGATACTCTACATAGAAGATACCAAAAATTCTATCAAAAGACTATTAGAGTTAATAAGCAAATTAAGCAGTGCAGCTGGATACAAAGTCAATACTCAAAAATCAATAGCATTCCAGTACACAAACAACATACTCATTGAGAGAGAAATTATGGAAACATCGCCTTTCACAAAAGCATCCAAATTGATAAAATACTTAGGAATCAACCTAACAAAGGATGTAAAAGACATATGCTGAAAATTATGGTACTCTAAAAAAGAAAATTGAAAAGGCTGTCAGAAAATGGAAAGTTATCCCTACATCTTGGTTAGGAAGAATCAACAATGTGAAAATGTTATACAGATTTAATGCATTCTAATCAAAATGCCAGTAACATACTTTACATATCTAGAGAAAACATTCTTAAAATTCATTTGAAAACAGAAGAGACCTAGAATAGTAAAGGCAATCTTGGGCAACAAAGCCAAGGAAGGAGGCATCACAATCCCTGACTTGAAATTCTATTACAAGCTACAGTGATAAAATCAGCATGGTACTGGCAAAAAAATAGACCTGAGGATCAATGGAACAGATTAGATGACGCAAACACACTAAAAAGATACTTAGCCATCTTATCTTTGACAAAGGGGCTAGACATGTTTATTGGAAAAAAGATAGCCTGTTTAATAAATGGTGCTGGAAAAATTAGCTTTCCACATGCTGAAGACTGAAACTAGACCCATGTTTATCGCTGTACACTAAAGTCAAAATGGATCAAAGATCTAAATATTAAAACAGAAACAGTAAATCTACTGGTAGACAAGGTAGGTAGAAATCTTGAAGACATAGGGGTGGGCAAAGAGTTCATGAACAAAATGCAAACTGCACAGGAAGTACTTCCCAGAATCAACAACTGGGATCACTTCTTATTAAAAAGTTTTTGTTATTCAAAAGAAATTTCCAACAGAGTAAAATGAAAACACCAGAATGGAAAAAGAATTTTAGCTAGCTGTCCCTCAGACAAAGGGCTAATATCTAGAACATATGAAGCATTGAAGAACATCAGGACCTCCCAAATTCATAGACCTCATGCAAAAATGGGCATCTGAAATGAACAAGCACTTCTCATATGAAGAAATACAAATGGTAAATAAATACATGAGGACATGCTCAATACCACTGGTCATTTGAGAAATGCAAATTAAAACAATAATGAGATTCTATCTCACTCCAGAAAGTTTGGCTGCTATCAAGAAATCAACCAATACCAAATGTTGCGAGGGCTGTGGGGAAAAAGGAACACTTCTGCACTGCTGGTGGAAGTGTAGATTGATGCAACCACTGTGGAAATCAGTGTGAAGAGTCCTCAAAAAAAAAAAAGATAGGATGAGAAGTCCTATTTAATTCTTCTATTCCCCTTTTGGGTATTTTCCCAGAAAAGCTGAAAATGTCATGGCACAGCAATATAGGTGTGCTCATGTGAATAACAGTGCAATTTATAATAGCTAAAACTTAGAAGGCATATCAACTAAAGGCATATCAACTGCAAAATGGATAAAAAATTTTGATAATTTTATATAAGGGAACATTACTCAGCTATAAAAAGGATAATTTTGAGGATTTTATAGATAAATGGAGGCAACTTGAGACCATATTAATGAGTGAAATAAATCAAACTTACATTTATAAATATCATAGTCTCCCTAGTATAAAAATAAAAATCTGAAAAAATAGTAAGATTCAAAATATACAATAGATATAGTAATAATGAAAGGGAAAGAAAGGACTCAAAAGGACAGAACTACAGGGATAAGGGAAAGGAAAAAGGCAGAAAGGAAAAGATTATATATACTTTGGTAAACATATATAATATGTGTATGTATATGTATGCTTGATAGATATCTATAGTACTAATCTCGGAGTTCATCAAAAAGAAGTTTGTGCTGTCATTGTTTGATTAATCACTTTTGTGTCTAGATTTTGCAAATTGAACAACTGGTTCTGAAATAACAATATGAAATATATTGTGTTAATTCCTTACATTATTTTCTTTTTTGAGATTCTATATCATGTCTGTCCTTTGTTTCTGTTTTGCTTTTTTAAATAAAAAGATTAAAAAATATCCTTTTCTTTTTCAGTGTTTCCAAGAATTTCCTCTGTGTTATTCTCTGTTTCACAATTGAAGGTCTTAAATCTTTGATTCACTATTAGTTAATTTTTATACAAGGTAAAAGTTAGGGATCAAATTTCAGTCTCATACCTATGGATACTTTTCCACCCACCTGTCTCTTGATCCTTTTCCTTTTTTATTAATTTTTTTTAGTATATGTTTGAAATATTATGTTTACTTTGTTTTTTTGAGCCCTTTAATTGAAGAAAATATAAACCTGTGTTACCTTAATCAAATTTAATGTATACCTTCTAGTCTTCTTTTGATACAGTTTGAAATAATAATTAAGGCAATAATACATATAACATGATCTATAGCAGACATTCATTTTATTTTATAATTTTGCTGTAGGGTTTTCCTTTATTAAGAGAAATAAATACTCCAAATGTTCCCTTTTCTTTTAGAACTTTTATAGTTCTTATACTGAATTTCAAGGTATATAATTTGTAATTTGGGAGAATAATTATATTTTTATATTTTTAAAAAATTTTAATTTCAGAAAAACATATTTATATAACCTTTTTCCAATAAATGTTACAAGGATTTTAATAGAACAGCTTACCTGTATTGATTCTTAAAATATATTTGTGAGTTCTTTTTATGTATCATTAACTGCATTAAGTACTACAATTTCTAGAAACGAAGCAGCTAAGTCATGATCCCTACCCTCTGGAACATTTTATTTTAGGACTTTACATGAATAATAAATAAAAATTTAAAGACTAAATATTAATCATTGAGTCTGACTTGTCTTGGAAAAATAGCATTAGCTCCAAATATTCTGTTATTATTTTGAGTTCATGAAACCAGACACAAAGTCCACTGTCATTTCTTATGTAATTTATTACATTTATTTTTCTTTTCATTCTCTCTCTCTCTTTTTTGTCAGCAGTTTCACAGAAAGCTAGGACAAGGCAAAAATAATAAAGCTACTTTTTGAGAAAGGTAAGTTAAAAGCTTGATCAGAAAAATGTGAAGATACAGAATAAACATTTTAAATGGAATGAACATGCAGTCAAGAAAAGTTTGTTAAAATGTTAACCCTGGGAATGAATGTAGGAGTTTGTTGAACAAATTTATGATCTTCCTTAAATTATTTAAGTCATCGAAAGACTGGCTGATTAATTTCCCCATGACAAAGGGTCATTCATGCTTGGGTTTTAGGAAAATATTTACAATGTTCTCAATCATTAGTAAATTTTAAACTTCTAGGACTATATTAAACCTATATCTGTATTGGGAGACTGGAATAGTACCGTGTAGTATATAAATAGTAGATATAAATTAAATTTCCTAAATTTGTACATATTTTATAAGGTCAATGTATTATCAGTTTGAAGTACCATAGTTATGTTTCTGGGCCTTAAGTATTTTCCTGGAAACTCATGTAAATGTTCCTTAATCTTTTCATAGCATTTCTCATCTCTTTATTTCTCAGTGTATATACGGCTGGATTTAAGAGAGGAGTAAAAACAGAATAAAACACAGCAAGAAATTTGTCTAGCCATGTGATGTTTAGTGGGCACACATAGATGAAGATGCAGGGCACAAAGAAGATCACCACCACTGTGATGTGGGCAGTGCAGGTGGACAGTGCCTTGGAAGCACCTGTTTTAGAGCTTTGGCGGACAGTGAGAAGAATGTATGTGTAGGAGATCAGCAATAGAGCAAAGAAGGTTACACCCACAAAACCACAATCAACATTCATTAAAATGTCCAGATTGTAAGATTCCATGCAGACCAGCTTGATAACCAGTGGTATGTCACAGAAGAAGCTGTCTATTTCCCTGGGCCCACAGAAAGGTAGTTTCACAATCACAACCAGATGACTCAAGGCATGCACAAGACCAATATTCCAGGAAGTTAACACCAGCTCAGTGCACTTTCCCCAGCTCATGATGGTAGAGTAATGCAGTGGTTTGCAGATGGCCACATAGCGGTCATAGGCCATGACCACTAGCAGCACCATCTCGCCTGCTGCAATGCAGTGGGCAAAGAAAATCTGACACATGCAACCTTCAAAGGAAATAGTCTTGTTATCTCTGAGAAAATCTGTGATCATCCTAGGAGTTGTCACTGAGGAAAGCCACATATCAACAAAAGATAAGTTGGCCAAAAAGAAGTACATGGGGGAATGTAGATGGGAGTCAGTGACAATTAATATCATGATGACAGCATTTCCAGATACAATGATTATGTATAGCATCAAAAATATCACGAACAGAAAGACTTGTGTATTCTGTGAGTGGCACATTCCCAAAAGTACAAATTCTGATACTGCAGACTGATTTCCTTCATCCATTTTATTCAGTGTATCTGGAAATAACCTAGAAAGGATAAATTATCAATTAATGAAAAGGAAAAAGAGAATTTTAGAATTATATGTCCATATTGAAATTTCATATTAATATCTAAAACTACAAAGTATAAACACAAAGAGAGCACAGTCAAATATAAATAGTATTACTATTCAAAGAGAACCTTAACTAAAATGAACTTTCCAAGAAGGAGAGTTTAGAAAGGATTATCATGAAATATAAGACAAGTGATACAATGCCATTTCTTTGTACTCTATATAATAAGCTTTGATGAACTCTTTTCTGTAGGACAATATAAAATCAAAATTTTATTTTATTAGGAAGTTCAGGTCTCCTTGGACAAGACAATTTTATTGCTTAGAAAAACCTCTAAGAGAAAAAAATCTGAATCAGAATAACACAGGTATCTTTGGAGACTAAATCATTTCAGGCAGGCCAATCTAAAGCCACTGATAAGTTTTCTGGAGGAGATAGAAGGTTTTCCTCAAGAAGTATTCCTATGGAAATAATTCATTTTTGAATCATGTAGAGTACTTATATTTGTTTTCCTGCCTTGTACATGTGTGTGACTGGGGAGTCATGACATAAAAAATAATTTTTCATATTAGAATCTTAAAAAATTATCAAATATTTGCCTCTTTTACCACTAAAAATTTCCATTGTCACTTTTATAGCATTTTAGCTTAAAAAAACCTTTTTAATTTTTAAACATGTAAAAGCTACAGAAATAATATAAATATTATGCAAAATCATATCTTTTTTTCTTACAACAGAAAAACTAATTGTAAAATTTTATCTCTCTAAAATAAATGTTGGGACAACTTTTATTTATGAGATAAGCTCTATAAGAAGAGCAAATAATTAATACTTTGTGCAATGATTTGGATAGAAACCAAGTACATAATTAACCACCAATTAAAATTTATAATATAATAGAACTTATTTAGTAAAGTAGATCAGACAAAAACTGCTAATGCAACAAGAAATGAATAAATGTAAAGAAATGAATTATAAAGAAATGAATTAATGTAAGTGATGACAACTCAGAATTACATTCAAACTTGATGGATTCTGATAATTCCAGGTAGTTGAATGTGCTGACACATGCCTATAATTCCAGCAGTCTGGAAGGCTAAGGCAAAAAGTTAGAAAGTTTGAACCCAGCCAGGGCAATGTAATGAGCCTGTTCAAAAATGAAAAGTGAAAAAAAGGGCTAAAGATGTATTTCAACATAAAAGCTCTGGATTGAATCCCCAGTACCACAAAAAACAACAAAAGAAAGTTACATATAATGTAAACTTTATCAGTAGAAAGTAGTATATTAATAAATACTGTCAATAAACTGAATTATTACAGCCTGAAGACCATGAAAATTATAAATATTATCTATCAAGCATCATTATTTATCATTTATACATTATTTTTCAGTTGAGAATAAATTATACCAAATGTATAAGCAAATTGCATATTTGCTAGTTCTGAGTAAAGATAAGTTAAATCTTCAGCAAAAACTAATTATTTACTTGCAAATAAAGTAATATTGATTTATGTTTATTTAAGTGTACGATACTTATAAAACTGGAGGCTGAAAGCATTTGCCCATTTTCTTTCCTCCTTCATTCATTCTTCATTGGTATTGTTTCTAGTTGTGTGACTCATCTTATTTTGTTCCTTGCAATTGCCAAGATGGGGCCAAGAGAATAAGTCAATAAAAACTGATACCTTTAGCATGAGCACTATATTACCCTCCCTTTCTTAAAGCACAGACTAAAGATGGAAAAAAAAAGAATATTCTTGAAAAGAAATTAGATAACAGACACCTTCTCTGTGGAATAGAAAATATGTGATAATAGGGTCATATTTTGCATATAAATATAACTTCTGCAAAAAATATTTACCTAAATCCGAGGAAAGAGCATTGACATTCCATTCAATAGATCTGAATAGTCTGTCATTTTGCAAAACTTAATTGTCTGCTGACACAAAGTTTCCAAAAACCAATTCTGTATCTGTTAGGAAAATTTGCATAGATTTTTGAGTCAGACTTTATTGAAATTTGACTTCTTTACTTGTCTTTATGTATATGCATCAAAATTATTCATTCACTTTTTTGTAAAAAGAACACATTCAATTTAATAAACATGATATAATATAAAATATACAGAAAATTCTAAAATTGTTCTTGTAATATTCAGTATGTTAATAAATACTATTTACTGTTTACATCCTACCTGGTGGATTTCAAAGCAATAGTGCCTTCAAAGCTATTTTCAAAGATTTTATTTCTCATTTGAAGTCTGAAGTTCAGTGTAAGCAAAAATATATACAATTGTGTTTCTTTAAAATATCCATGGCTTCCACTTTCTCCAAGTTAACATGCACCTTTTCTGGAATTGTAGGATGTAGAGTTGCAATACTCTTCAGTAACATTACAACTCTTTCATAACAAACCTTTCATTTCTCTTGCCCAGGAAATTACTAATATTTTAGAAGACTAATTGGCAATATAAAATTCTATTAAAACATCTTTGGAGTTATTATCTCTCACTCATAAGTTTTTAAATGAATGGTTACTATTGATGCTAAATTATCATAAAGCAATAATATTAAAAAGCTGTTAGCTTGGGTTTGGGCTAATGATAATGAAGAGTTTTAGAAAGGAGATGAATTGATCTTTTACAGGTATGAACACACAACAACAACATACTCATTCCATTCTTAATATAATGTTCTTCCATAATGTTTTCTGTAAAAGCACTAAACTCTGTGAAAGTCTCAATATTTGTATTTTTGCAAGCATATATTTGTTCTTAGATAATTTAATAGACTGCCTGAGACATATCCCAGTGAAACACACAAGTTTATTCCAGTAGCGTGAGATGATTCCCTTTGCTCTCAGATTGTGAGTTTTAATCCTATTTCTACACTAATATACTTCACTTTTCTTAGATTTATAGCCTTTTTAATTTTTATCTCTATGCTAAATTACCTTACATACTGTATATTCTGATAGAAAAACATCAGTATTCTGTTAAAAAGCAGAGGCCATTTAAACAAAGATAACTGGAAACTCTTCATATCAATTAGCAGGCAGACAAATGTGATCTGTTTGAGCTGATATGAGAGCATCTCTGAAGCTATGCATTTTCGTCACATGTGTTCTGTTGTTGAGAATAGAGAAATCACAGTAGAACCTGGAGAGCAGGATAAAACCCATAAATTATTTTCTTAAAATTAATGAAGTTCTTTTTAATTGTAAGCATAGTATCCATTCTTCAAGCTGATATGCAGAAATATTTTAAGGATTATACTGAGGAAGAGAATGGGACAGATGAGATGACTTACTAAACACAGTTTTTTTTCTCTGAGATTCTGCTTTAATCTTATTTTCTCATAGGTACATGCAATGACGTTAGTGTTAGCTGGAGATGATCAGTGGAAGTGTTGTTCCTTAGCTTGACTTTTACTCACCAGCTGAAATGGTCTCCTGGGTGAAATTTACTTATTTTTGTTCTGAACAAATCAAGAATCATGGAAAGAACTATTGTGGATGCCACTTGGGAGTGTCTTTGTTAAGAGTGATGTAAAATGTTACATATTCAAAAATCAGAACAGAAAGACAAGTAATATTTCATATAAATCAGCACAGTATTAAAAATTAGATAAATTATTCTGGGTGTGGATGTTATACACCTGTGATCCCAGCATTCTGGGAGGTCGAGGCAGGCAGTCTGCAAGTTCAAAGCAAGACTAGGCAGTTTAGTGAAACCCCATCTTAACATAGAAATGCACCAGGGATTAAACTTGATGGTAAAATACTTCCATAGTATGCATGAGGCCTTAGACCCAAATCACCAGTACTGTTTAAAAGCAGTTAGGGAAATTCTAAAAATTATTGTTTATTTGAAAATAAGAACAAATATTCTTTGCAAATCTTGATATATAAATATAGATACATAATTAGATACAATTTAAATTTTATTTTCACTGAGAGATATGATATGCTGAACAGGGTGATATATGACCACAAAAAACAAACCATCCTAGGATGTAGTTCCCTACTGCAGTTAAGTTTGTCTAGATAGGCAGGTAATCTTGGTGAAAAAGACTGATGTATTTCATTACGTTCTATGATTACATTTACGTCTTGGCAGTTAAAAACCAGACATCAAATTATTAAGATATCTTTAGGCATTGTTTTTAAAAAAACTACTCTAAATATTTTGCTACAGAGCTGAGTGAATTAAATTAATTGAGACTCATACCATGCTCTAGGATATTGTTTAATTTGGCACATGTGTACTTCTAAAGGAAAAAAATGTTCTAATATTTTGAACAAAGTGTTTTGTAAACAGCAATTATATCTATTGGTTCATTTTTGATGATTTTTTGTTTAATTCTATCAGTTACTGAGAGTGGAGCCTGACAGCTTTGATTATAATTTTTGTTTGTTGCTACTTTGTTGAATTTATCAATTCTCACAGTCTTGGTGGAGTTTTTAAGGTTAATATATAGAATCATATCATTCAAAACCAGATGATCTTACTTCCCTCTTTGCTAGTTGCATTCCTTTTAATCTTTTTTTTTTTTCTTCACTGCACTGGCTAAAATTTCTATCACTATACTGAATAAGGTAATTGAGAATAGACATCTTAGTCGAAAACAGGATAGACAAGGAGGCATACACTGACTGGTGGCGAGGTGAGTGAGAGAAACTGACAATCCACCACAGTTTGACTCCAGCGGAGGACTTTCTGGGCTCGGGCAGTCCTGTAAGAGCAGGGTGCGGTGGCGACTCCAGACACACATTCCCCTCTCGGACGGGATTGGTGAAAAGTGCCTGGCCTGCGTGACACTGCGGGTGGACTTGGTAGGCTGGCCTAACCCAGATCCCAGAGCCTGACGGTGGCCCGGAGGGGTGACTGACTCCCGCATAGGCTGCCTAGTCCATAACTCCCTGGTGCACAGCAGTGGGCGGGAACACCTA